TCCAGCTCAAATAAAACAATATCCTCAAATCCTTTTTTATCCCACCAAAGTATGGTTATCCAGATGTAAGGTGAAAAGAGGATAGTGTCTTCCGTCCTTAATGTATTTGCGACCCTGCCCATTCTTTTCAGGCAAACTGAGAATGCACAGCTCGATAATTTCAGTATCATGCAATTATATGACCTTCTTACTTAAAATCCAAAGTCAGTTAATCTATATATTTTTCCTGGAAACTCCTAAGTTTTGAGTAATTACCACTGTAACTGAACACGCCAAAACTGTAGCGTACTATTAGGTGCATACCTTCAGCCTTTAACTTTTTGCAAAAAATGAAACCCCAGATTTACTGAGAGCTCCCATTTGTACAAGCATAGGCTCCGATATACATTGTCCCAGTTGTCCAGTTCGCTAAAGCATCTGACCCATCTTTTGCATTTTATTCATACTTTCAGTATATGTTTCAGCTAAGCAATTTGTAATTGGCCATTGCTGGGGATGGTTGCCAGGGCCGGCGTTTGAAAGAACAAAAAACATTATATGTTGACTTCCACCCAATGATTCAAAAATGAAAGCCAGCTTGCTTACATACAAGGCAAATTTATTACTTTTTGTAATAAGTTGTACATATAATATATAACTCTTAGGAGGTGCAACTCGATGTCTAACCAGATTTGAAGAGCAGGATGGCGACTTGACCCATGTAGAAGTAGATGAAGTGCTTGGACTCGTGCGTGACGTAGCTGTGGGAATAAATGAAAGAAAGTCGGTTTTATCATTTTTCAAACACTTTGAAATAGAAAGACAATTTTGTTCCTCCTCGTGACATAAACCTTCCACAAAGCATGCTTATAAAACCTACGCCTCCACTTGATTCTTCTAATCTCAACATATTCCGGCCTAACAGCCTACGCTGTTGTCATTAGACAAATCTGGGTGGCTAACTGCGGTTGAATTACATTTTAAAAAAGACTGCGCTACCGTAACAATCCCAACTAGAATGGTCGAGTTGCTGCGGAAAAGAAGCAAATTAATACCTGCCAAAGTTGCGGCCAACAATGCAGTGCCAGGTGGGGTTGAACTCTTTGTCGAAGGACTTCTTGATGTGGGCAGCAATATCCTTCTCAATGTTGAACTTGTCCAGAGCCTCTTGACCGATCTCAACAGCGCGTTGCTGCATTTCGTCGCTCATGTCGGCATTCTTGACAACAGCCTTGTTGGTAGACATGGTCACTGTCCTCTGGTTAGATCTTCGCTCTGCTGATTCCTCTGGTCTCAAGACGAACAACACGTTTATATGCACGATTGCAAATGTCTCGGGGTCGTCGCTGCTGATGCGATTTTAGTAGCCTGACCTCAGTCTGAGGCAAGAAAATACCAATCGACTCATGGTGTCCTACTAGAGCCTGCACGACCTCGATACATTGCCTCTCGCTGGCATGCTGTTGCCTCTTTATGCAAAGGCAGTTGATCCATCGGCTTCGGCAATCCCTGTGTGCGTGTGCCGGCGCGTGTTTTGTTGTGGCTTGAACCTTAATTTACATCACGTACATCGAAGCTGAGAATGTCTTACCTAACTTGCCAAACAAGGACATGCCGCAATCCAAAATGCAAATTCCGAACCGACTGAAAAGGCTCTAGGGAGCAAACCCTCACACAGTTTCAAAGTGATTTTCTACAGCAAATCTGAGTCGGGGTCTGGGTTATTACACGGATGCCTTGGCCTTTATCTAATTTTCCTCACAATGAAAAGAACCATATTTGTGGATGGGTTGGTTAGGAGAATGCCTTCGTATCGCTGTGGTTCTCACAGAAGATGGTGTACTGTTTAAATACAAGCTCACTTCTGGGGAAACAAAGTCCAAGGGAGGCGGCTAACAGTAACCACCGTTGTTGAAG